TCGGTAGTAAAATCAAGACTACCTTTACCTTAAGGTTTCATTTTTTTAAAGAGCTGCAGGACAATGACCAAAGAATCTGGACTGTTCTACTATTTTGAATTAGAAAAGGACATGCAGTGTTACAGCACAGTCAGGTTAGGTTATCTTTAATCCAAATCTTCAACCAGTGGACACATACAGTGTGTGTCTTACATTCAGACCCAGATGCTGTTAATAAAGAGAAGTCTCTTATAAACAGCTTCTCAAAGAAATACAAACCCAACAGAAAGACTCTTCCCTTATGCATGGATTGTAGGCTAATTCAAACCAAATACATACACAATTACTCCCAAAGCTAAAAAGGATGTTGTCAATAAAACCAGAACAATCCTGAAAACTGACACTGGTTAGGCATAACACAAATAAAGAAGTCAAACAGAATCCTTAGCACACAAAAATGAGTTATAGGCTCAACAAAGTTCAACAAGAAAACACTTTGACTACCCCATGAAGCGCGACAGACAGTTTAGTATTTAAAATTTTAAGAAAGCACGTTGGTCAACTGTATGAGTCACATACCATCCAAAATATGCCCCCCCCCCAAAAAAAAATATTTTATCACCTGGATTGGCATTTTACACATTAAAAAGCACACGAGCAACAAAGCAGCAGCACTGAATTATAGCAGAAAGCACAACACAGCATGATTATCAGCATCATCACCAGGATTTAGGTTTTTTCATTCATTATTCTTGTTTTAAAATCATCAATTATGAGGTGTTAATTTGTGTGTGGAATCAACCAAATAAATCCAACAAGATATTTTTGGAATTCAAAGGTCTCTCACCAAATGAAATTGGTGAAGGCTCAGATCTGACTGTCCGGGGAATTCCCAGCAGAAGGGCCCCTGAAAGGCAAAGATGGACGTTCCCAAGTCACACAATTATATCAGCTCTCCATCTCTTCTTCGTTATCTCTCTACACACATATACACATCTGCACATAATCCCAGCTGACCAGGTTTTATGCAGAAGCAACGTGTTCTCCCTGGAAATAATGCATCCCCCTGGCTTTTTAGTTATTTAAACTACTACCTCATCTCTGCTGGCTCAGCGTGCTCCTGGGTGCATGTTCGGCCCCATTATTACTAATTTTACACAGAGAGAATGGGAGAACACTGGCTCTGCACTGGTTACATGGCTGTTCGTACTGGCTGGCTGGTTGTTAAAACAGTACTTCACTTTGGTAGTACATTGTATCTCCTCAGCATCTACACTTTCACAGATGTTCAGGAGCAGTCAGCTGGTCTGGGGATCCACTGTCATCACTACGTTTTGGCACCGACTTTTCAAGCTCTAACAGATAGCATGACACCGGCACGGAGAAGTAAATAATATCACCTGAGTGTCGGGGTCATGTTTTTCTTGATGTTATTATAAAGTAAGTTTACAATAAAAATAATCAAGAGTGCTGACTACAGGTCCCCAGAGCTGTGATTTCTGATATTTTTAATCACTTTTCTGTGTGCACTAAAATATTATTATATTGCCTAGTCTGAATAGCTGTTCAAATACAAGTTTCTTTATAGGAAGAGGCATTCAGAGGTTAACCTGGCACATTTGTATCTACTGCCCTTAAGAGCAAAAATTCAGATCTCACATCTCTCTGACAGGTATCAGCAGATGATAGAGGACAGGAAAGTAAGAAGGAGGGGAAAAAATAGGTAAAGAGATTAATTGATTTCTTAAGGAAGAAATGACATGCTAGTAGAGGTCTCGGAACATGCGGAGAAAAGCAACAGGGCCTTTGGTTTACTGAAGGGCTCCAGCACCTAAAAGCTACTGAGCAGGTTACTTTCTCCGCAACATGATCACTGGGTTCTATTTGTACTTGCGCTTGACCCCGTGGACAGCCAGATAACTTTTCAAAACAGCTACAGAGTGAACACTGCGGTTACTGATGAAACACGCGCAGACACACACACGCACACTTACAGATATAAATATGTATTATCCTTTTAAATGTGCATGTCCGACATAGAGTCACATTCCCTGGGGTAAGTTGGCGAGGGTTATATAACGGTCAAATACCAATGGCCCTAGAGCTACTCACACACGCAGAAAAACACGGATACAATACAACAAACTGCTATTCACATTTCCTACGATCAGATGTTGTAATGGAGAGGCTCCTTAATGATGTTTCTTCGCACATTCAACATTCACAATTAATGCGCAAATTTGACATTTCGAATTCTGGTCAGTAGGTCCTTCCCCTTAGGACTGTTATTGAACCCAAAGGGCCCTCCTGGTAATTTATCAGGTACCTTAGCTTTAAAATGTTTTGTCCGTAAATAAGCAAGATGGCTCTTCAGTCACGGTTATGTTGTTGCTGACTAAGCCAACACTGAGTGGATTGTCTGTGGGAACAAGCGGCTGTCCAGCCTGCAATGACTGAGGTGCTCTCATTTTCATTGTCACAGTTCCCGGGCCTGACGCCACGTCTCGACGGCCTCAGATTTTGGCCCGAGCCGATGATGTAAGCGTGACCCCTTGAACAAGAGTCTTGTCTGGAAGAGACAGTGAGAGACATCTGACAGGCACAATGGTCTCTATCTGAGGTCTGGACCACTTGCCAAAAAGCTGGGTTATATGGATAAAATCTTCAACAACGGGATGTTAATTTCCTTATTGTTCTATATCATGATACATTTTCATTAAAAGTCTTTTATATTGCCCAATCCTACATGCCAAGAGCATTTTGTAACTCCAGATGCAAAAATGACAAAGAAATGTGTGCGATATGAGCTTTCTCTTGCTACAAAGGATAAAGCTGGATAGTAGGGGGGTATTTGGAAAAAGACTTAAAATGTAGAAGGAAAGAGCAGTTTAAGGTCGGCATAAGTCAGTGCAGAGAGAGCCTTCTAGATGAAGCCTATAGACAGTGGGTGGTGCCTGCTGACCATGGGGTCGCTCATTAACAGCGAAGGAGGCCAGGCATCCCAGAGTCCTGGACAATTGTCTGGTTAGCCCAGGTGCATGGCCCATTCAGACCACAGGAAGCCCCCTTTATCCCCATTCCCCCAAAATGGACAGAGAAGCGGTCAAGGAGAGTGAATGTGATCCTGGCTCTGTCTTTTCTCACAAAGACCTATAGTAGCACTCACATGCCCATCCAGTCCTTTGGCCCATTGTTGGGATCCACAGAGTCATTGTGGCATGTGTTTTTCTAAATGCTTGGTTAACACGCAGTTCTGTTTTTTTTGGTTTTTGTTTTGTTTTAATATCAAAAACACATTAGCTCTTTTCATAGAGCCTCTTTTCAGTACACATTCTTCAGAAGAGCCGGTGTGACTGAACAGGGATAAAATAAGCATGTTCAGAAGTTCTAAAAGGCTCATATGGGAGGTCTTGCAGGCCATAAAAATGGCCAGATTCCATCACTTCCTCCACACTAATTACCATAAACTTGGAGCAAGTGCCCTCCCTCTCTTCATCCCTGAGCCCATGCTTCACTACCTCTGGCACACACACACGCACACATACACACAATAACACACAGTGAGGTGCAGTTAGGAAATGGTTAACACTCCAGCCGTCTCGTGCTGCCAGTGAAAGCCTACAAAACAATGGATACATTGTTTGACCAGGGCTAGGCTCTAGACTCTAAGGCTGTGTATGTGCGCGTGTGTGTGTGTGTGTGTGTGTGTGTGTGTGAATGTCAGGAAAGTAGTCTCTATGTGTATGCTCTTAACATTTGCATGTTTCTGCCCCAATTCCCAGAAGGGCAAATTAAGAAACGTAATTTAATAAAGGATGACTTGCATTGGAAACGCTTTTGGATCTCATTCTAGAGTTGACGTTTATCTGAAATAAAAAAATAAATAAAAAAAAAGGTTTTGTCACAACTGTGAGGTGAGATGGTTTAATACCTTTCAGCCAAAGGATGTCAGGACATTACCAACCAAGTCCTTTACTGCACTATTGTTAAAGCTGTCAACATACACATTTTAAGTAGTGGATTTACAAATCAATCCGGTATGGTATGTTGTGTTACTGGCTTAATGCCATAATCATATCTATATAAATCATAATTTGTCTAAAAATAGAAATGAGAAAGTGGTTAAAAAAAATAAATACACACACACACACACACACACACACACACACACACACACACACACACACACACACACACACCTTCCTAAATTTGTCCACCAGCTTTAAGCTACTTCTGGCTGCTGAGTATCCACAAAGACTCCACAACGTCAAATTAACGTGACAACAATAAAAGGCATGTCGACAAAGCAAGGACTGTTTATGATATTTCCCTCAGGAGCTGTGTGAGGCATACAAATGTTTCTTGGAGTCTCTCCCTCAAAAATATACATCAATAGGTGAATAAATATTGAATAACTTTCAGCCAATGGCATAAAAGTTCAGTGGCGGCAGGTTTTGAGGCTGCCTGCGGGGTGGTCAGGCACTTCAAAAGGTCCTGCATGGCCCCCTTTGAGGGCATGGTAAACAGGGGCATACAGCATGCCCTCAGACAGGCCGGCCTGCGTGAGGTCACTTCCCCTTTTTCTCGGCTGATCCTGCAGCATTGCACCTCGACAGAGCCTTCCAGCCGCAAACAAGGCCACCAGTCTGCATCTCCGTCCCTGTCCATCTCTCCTCCATCCTTCTCCTCAGCCACAACTTTCTAACAGGCTTTATCTGCATTCATCTATATATATATATATATATATATATATATATATATATATATATATATATATATATATATATATATATATATATATATATACACATCTTTCCTTCTATCTATCACCGTTTACTATTGTTGTTTCAACTGTCTCAGGGTCACTTAGGCTTTAGATCGCTGTTATCTAGCAGGCCGATCGACAGCTTATCACTGCCTATGCAGCCTCCTAGCGCTCCAGGCAGGGAGAGGTCAAAGTGTCTGAGTGTTTCCTCCCATTTGTGAACACAAAGAAACTACCATTTACAGCCCAATTTATTGATAAGGGGATCACGTACAGGAACATGCAGGCCTGCATCTTGTAGTAAAAGGGGAAAAAAAAAAAAAAAAAGCTTGACTGATTGAGTGACACCAGCGGGAGTCCGTGTTGGGTTTTCATTGGCATTCACGATGCTGTCCACAGTAATCTGTCTTTTCTATATGTACAACAGCCAGTATGATGCAAACCAAGGAAACATTCAATCACACTTCCCTCTCAGTCAGAGGTGGATGGCTGGAGCAGGATGGTAGGAGCGGCAACAATACAAGCTGCAGTTCACATTCAATTCAATCACTTGTGCTAAAGGCGAGTTGTGTGCCTATGCAGCGATGCTGCAATGCCTCTGATCTTACCAGCCTGTGTACTCTATCAAACAGATCACACTAGGGCCAGGCAATATGAGCACAAATATTACACTATATTCGCTGATATTGATCAGTGTCAGTACTAATCACTATATGTTTAATAAGGCTCCTACTGCTCTGTTCTGCTTTTGCTTCTGTTTTTTGCTTAGGACAAAGAAAGAACGATTTTGTGTTATCATCAAATCTTTACGAGTCTCTTAACTTCATTCTTAGTTTTGTCTAAAAATGACCTGATGACCTTGGTCCAAGTACTATCTGTACCGACTTACTTTTCTCACAGAAGCAATGGCAATTTTCTGTTACTGTCAAATCATTGTACACAGTTTAGTTTAGCGTTACTTTAAATTACGGTTACACAAACTCATACTGTCTGTATGCTCGGTGGGATGTTAACTTTCATAGCATGGGAAGGTTCTGTGGTGATTAACACATGTTCCAAACACAATATTGCTCAGTATTTTGTATTACAGTCACTACATTGTGTTGTTGTGCGCTTCAGAAATGTGCAAGCTTATTTTTTTCCATCTGACTGGTTGTCCATCTTTGTTGTTTCAAGTTTGTTTTCGCCCCACAGCCAGTTTCTGTTTTGAGTTGCTGGTGTTGCCTGTTTGTAAGTGTTGCACGCTTGACTGTTTGTATTACAACGTTCTGTGTACATTGTGAAAACTTACATTTATTTTCCCAAAAATTTGTTTTAAAAATTGTTATAATTATAGATCAATTTAGCACCCAATTATGAAATTATAGGAGTGTATATAAAATGTGTTATGACATCACTAATGCATTCTGAAAAAGTTGCTGCAACCAATGCACTTTTCTTCCCAAAGTTCTCAAACTTACTTTTAAAATGAACTGTACAGCAGGAGTTTAGGTGGATGTGAGGTGGTAAGTATTTACAGCCATATGACTCATAGCAGGAGAAAACCACAAGTATTTACCTGCAGCTTTTGCTGCCTACGACCAGTTTAATGACTTCATAGGAGCTGGGACTCTTTTCTCAGCGTCTCCTAAAATAACAGTAAGAAGAGGCCCCTGAACTCTTTGGTATAAAAATAACACTAGCATCGCAGGGAAAGATAAGGAGGGCCTTAGCTGGGCTTGTTTTGTTCAGAATAACACTGTCATCGCTAGTTCTTTGTCTTAAATACAACTTTTGACAAGGTTTCTGTTTCAAATAAACAGCCTTGTCGCCTCCTGCTATTTTAAGACGTGCTTAACTTAAACGGGCAAAATACCAAGGAGGCCTTGGCTCGCCAACTTTTGAGTAACTCTTCGAGCTGGTATTTATTACAGGCCATAAAAGTAACTGAAGTGATCGCATGTCAAATGTGACATGTGAGACGGACACCGTTTCTTGACAGTGTAATTTGTGTGATGAAAATCGCTACCTTCTGTCTGAGCTCCACAGCCATGATGACTACTAACTGTGTTGTTGCACAGAGTGCAAAAACAGAAAGGGTCAGCGGTGTATTATTAGCTCCAGCACTGAAATGTTACCACAGGAGATATTGTATTCACGAGCATACAAACTTGGAAGGCTATTCCATCTAAAATCGTTATGTGCTTTTCAAATTTTCATAACAATATGTAGAAGATGCACAACTCCAAAACAAAAGTAACTACTGCACCAATAATGGCCCAGGGCCTTCATGATCACCTCACTAATTCTGCTCAATCCCCACTTTCATTGATTTTCCTGGCATCGCTAACGCTGTGACCACATACGTACACCTCCTTATGTTCAACCTTTCGGCTGACCTCTTGAAAACTTTCTGCCTTTGGCTAACTACTAAGTTCACACTCGACTCTTCATTCTAGAGCTGCTAGCCTCTTAAATATTGACATGCCTGGGGTGAATGCTCTGTTCTGTGTATCTACTGCATATGCCCCTATTGCTGTCCAGCCAACTCTCGAGCCAGACTACTCCTTCAACTCCATGGATAGGGTAATCAATGTTGAAGGAACGCCCACTTCCCTGAAATACCCAGCATTAGCTCATTCTCATGAAAAAGTTGTCAACAGGAAACCAGGTTTCCATAATCATTCAGCTGAGCACAGGGCTGGGCTGAGAGTTATCATTTTCTCTGGGATTACAGACAGCGTGGCTGTCCAAAGAACAACTGCTGCACCTGCCACAGCGGCAGCCTCCAGTGCCATTCGCACCCTAATCACTCACTAATCCACAAAACGTTCACTGTCAAAATCTGCATGTATAAAAGAACGAGTTTACATAAAACTGACTGGGTGTGTTAGTGACTGTGATTTAAGGGTAAACGCAATCAAATATGCATTTTTACAGTCAACACATCCATTCATGGGGAAAAGGAGAAGGCTTTAACACTTAAGATGTTTTCAGGATGGACGAGAGAAGAAAAACAGGGTTTGTTTGTCTTTCTGTCATGAATAAGGGAGGAAGAGCTGGTGAAAGAGGAAAAGTACCGAGCAGAGTATTACTTACAACGATGTGTGCCGGTGACGGGGACCTGGCATCTTTAAGTGCTTGTCTACTTTGAAGACCTCCTGGTTGAACATCTAGCAGGGGCCATTTCATCTGTAGGTACTGAATGGCAGAAAGGAAACAGAATGGAAAGAAAGAAACAAAACATGTTAACAATGCAGAAAGCAAAAACCAAAAAGAACAAATTAAAAATAAGACAGAAGAAGGGAGACGACATTTCTGATGTATGGGTGCGGGAACTCAAAAACATGGAAAAGCAAATAAAGATCTTAAGGGGTATGGTGGATGGGGTGAGGATGGCCTGAAGCATGCATCCAAGAGTCCATCAGGAATGCACACAGTAATTGTGTAAACAAAATTACACATTTTTCTGAAATACACAGCACAAATGAAGGCAGGCTCCTTCACCGTGAGCAGGAAATCTAAAAAAGGAAACAATATTTTTTTGTAAGTAGCTAACGAGAGACTTTGGATTTCATTAAAGTCATTCATTTGGAGTTGGTGAGAGCAGAGGTTAGGGGTAGTACTGTGCACAGCTCATGGCTTTAAGATGACCTAATGTCATAAATGTGACTTTTATTGGAACCCATAAAGAGGTTAAAGTATGGCGTCTCACCACACTCCTCAGAGGCTAAACCTCCTGACTGCTCCCATAAATGATTGACTTGGCCTCTATCAGAAGTCTCCCTCTCTTTCTCAGTCTCTCTCTCTCTCTCACACACACACACAAGCACAGAAAGACAGATAAGCAGAAACAAGGGTCATGAGAAACATCTGTCTGTTATAAACTGGGTGGAGTGAGTCCTTTTAGTTTGATGACATGTGAGGAGTTGCCCGTTCTACCGAAAATGGTCTACACTGCACCTCTTCCTAAAACGAACAGGCAAAGCTCTTGTCCTCATCTTCATATATTGGATCATAATAAAATATGGCAAATACGCAAGTACTGTGCACAGATTCACATGATGGAAACTACTCTGTGGCCGTACAGCAAATCTTTGATTTGTCACTCATTGACTGCCTGGTGTTGACCTTGCTACAGTATGTGGTCCAGACTTTTTATCAATGTCACGGCCACCTAATTTGAGTGAAAGAGGTCACAGCACCTGTTTCAGCTTTGAGGCCTTTGGAATGGGTACCATACTAAGAGGTGAAGGGCCTAAACATTCTGAAGAAGGGAAACTACTAAGAGAACTTAATATCAAGGGCAACAGCTATAAACAGTGTAAAACCAGTGACCTTTGACAAACTGCTTGCAGCAGTTACATTACATTTAAATATTAGCCTCTATGGCTGCTTAGGTGATTGCTGTTCCCTGGATTTGCATGCAATAAAATTTGTACAGGCAATGAAAATGGGTTTGAAAAAATAAAAGCCTTTACTGATCAAGACTATTTAAGGTTCACACACTCAAATGAAAAATCATAACTTTGGCAGTCGAACAGGTTTGCCTCAAGAAACCAAATGAAAGAACATAAACCATCATTGGGGCAAGTTGTGGGTAACAGGCCTATTTTTAAACCTTGGTGTCACAGATACTTCATTAATTAAATGGGCATGGGCTGAACTCTGTAAATAATATAAGATGCTCTAATACACACCAGATATCCCCCTAAAAGCTGTCTGATGGGTGAATTTGGACTTGGATCTGTGTCTATGATGCCATTTCAACATAAACTTTCAACATGATCAAGAAATCTAAACATTGGTGTGCTTTTCTGCTCTTTCCCACCCATCTGATATCCACATGTTTGGAGTGTGTTGCTTCACATCAAGCTGCTATCTGATTCCTATTAAATTATATTTCATGAGTGACTGAGATCATTTGCTTCTTTGCAATAATGACATAAGACCTAAGAGGTTCGTGCAATCCTATTACATTTCATAATTATCTCACCATCGTTAATGGCCCACAATCAGATTTTGGCCCTAGGTCACAAAGAGTTTAGGCATTGCTGTTTTAAAAATGATAATTTCAGCGCAACCATCGTCCAGTTCCCTAACACAGTGTATGAAGTGCAGAGTGAGCTAAGCTATGGATCTCTGATAATGCAGGTACACACGATTCAATTTGTGTTGTCATCCAGCAAGGGTCACCGCTAGTTTGTGTGCATGTTGAGGGTGTGTGTGTGTGTGTGTGTGTGTGTGTGTGTGTGTGTTCTGTATGTGTGGCAGAGCTGGTCAGAGTGTGCCGCGACCCTTCCTGAGACTGTGTCTAAATCAGTGGTAATTAGCGAAGAGTTCACTGTGGGGTGCCTGCCAGTGGTAGACGCTGGAGGGAGTTATTGACTCCATGTCCTCAGTTACAGCCCGTGCAGGTTTGCTGCCTGGTTTATCTGTACAACTACCAATCATTTATGACCCCAAGACGGCTTTTACTGCTAAAAAAATGGGGTTTGTTTATGCTTGTTTGTATGTCCTGAGAGTGGAAAAAGAAACGGCTGTAAAAAAAATAAAATAAAAAATACTCCACAGTTGAGGTCTTGTGGGTTTTTATGGACCCCCCACACTGGGTATTAATTGCCATGAAACAGTGGGGAGTGGGGAGTGGGGAGAGGGGTGAGGGGGTTGTAACAGTAAAAGAGGAGGAAGAGAGTGACGGGGCTGCTGTCATCTATGAGGTAATTCAAGACAGTGTCCATTTGTGCCAGAGGGGCTAGAAGACAGGGCAGTGCAGGAGAGAAGGGGGGTTTAAATTGTAAATCCAGTCATGGGAAAGTCCTGCCATCGTGTGTGCATGTGCACACATGCTCACACAAGCTCACACATGCAAATATTCAAACACAGCTGCAGCTGGAGAAGAGGGTTCAACATTCTGAGTAGGTGGGTAAGGAGTGTGAAGGTGACACCCCTGAGTGTGGCAATGGGGTAGAGAGACATTGAAAGACTGCAGAGGGAGGGAGGGTGCCGCAGCGCATGCCCTGACAAGTGGCTCCACTTCAGCCCTGCTATTGCAAATGTTCTCACACACTAATCTCTCCTGCAGGTTTTACAAGCATGCCAAGGAAAACGGAGCCCTGGCTAGCACCGGCCTTTTCCGACCACCCCCTTTCTTGGCCTCCTTCCTCTCTCTTCACCCACCCGTCTGCCCTGCTAACGGACGCACCGCCTGGGCTTGAGTAGGCCATGACCTCTGACCCCTCTCTGCTGCACCAAGCCCCTCCCTGTTCCCCACTCTGTGACCTGAAAACCCTCCTGCTATGAGGGGGCCCCCCGGGTAACTCAAGAGCCATTCCAATGTGACAAATTGCTACGGAGTTCCAGGATAACTCTCTCCTCTCCTCTGTCTCTCTTCCTGCCCCCCTCCCACACACACACAAACACTAAGCAGCCCCCCCTTAACAGACCCCCACCCTGCAAGAGCCACCCAGTGGCTGTGCTCTGCCTTGTGCAGCAGACGGCTTCTCCTTCTCCCCTCTCTCTTTTCAGCCCCCCCCCCCCCCCCCTTCCCCTACCCTGCGCCCCTCCTCGTCTGGGCTGCCCCACAATGGGAGCTGAATGACTCAATTGTCTCTAATGAAGTGAAAGACAAGGGAGTCCTCTAAATCCTTACAGGGGGATGAACTCACTCTCACTGTCCCAATTTTCCTGTCCTCTACTGCTTTTGCAAGTACAAGACAAGGGTTGGTGGCGGGGTGTGGGAGTTGTTTACAAGGGCTATGACTAATGATAATTTAAATAATTTATTATCTGTTTTTCAATTACTGTTTAGTCAATTATATCAGTGAGAAAACTGCAAAATGTTCCCAAGGTCTGAAGGTGATGTCTTAAAATGTGTCATCTTGTCTGACCACTGTCCAAAATCCAAATATCTCCATTAAAGCCAGAACCAATACAGTTTGGCATTTTTGCTTCATGAATGACTAATTGAATGTTGTATTTTTGATGATTAGTTATCGGTTGGTCTAATCTGCTACTTTTTTTTACTAGAGTGGGTGCTTTCTACTTGCATGCCGAACCACTCACCCATATGTGAGCGACTGCTGCTGCACCTAGGTTTGGCATGTTATGAGCCACAGAGTGTTAACCCAGATCCACACTGACTGTCATCGCAGTGCAAACAAGCTGGGGCCCTGGTCCCGGTGTCACAGCTCGTGACAGAGGGGACGTAGGCTGGAGACAAATGGAGGGGCATCCTGAGCGCTCACAATTTATCCTCACACTTCTACACACCAGCTTCCGCCACAGTTGTTACTAATTCAACAAGCTGGCACAGAAGCAATTTGGCCTAAAACACTCCTTCCCGTTACCAGTGCTAGACTGTGATCCTCTCCCCAAAAAATTCACTTCCTATCAAACATTAACCAAACATCAATACCTGCTATTGACAAGGAAGGGGAAAGAAGTCTTACTTATAAATGTTTTAGTCTGAATGACAGACACAGAAAGAGCAGGATTGTTTTGCCTGTTTCTGGTCAACAACCAGCTCCTTTTCCATCAAGCCCTCATCTGATGTGTTTATCACATGCCGACTGGCGGCTGGAGCAGCAGCCACCGCACGGCTTGTTCATTTTGTTTTGGATTAAGGGCAGAGGGCTTCAGACCAATCAAACAAACAGAGCCTCTTATGTGCCAGTGTGGTTCCCAAACACTGGTCCACTATCCAGCAGGGAACCGTGGGGCAGATGATGAGGGCCACTGGGGCTCCATCAAGCATTCCAGCCATGTGAGCAATGTGAGAATGGAGGGGAGACAGGCACAGACAGACAGACAGACAGACAGACAGACAGACAACAGCTTGGGTTTAGAGTCAGCATATGGATGTTGGGTGTTGCTCTAGAGAGTCCAGTAGATCTTCAACCCATCTGTGGCCGCCTCATTTCACAGACATGGCATAGCTCTGCACAGGCATCGAAGGCAGTGTACAGAGATAACATATGCGGTCACACAGTGACCTCCCCCGCCCTCCCGACATATTTTACATGCTTATTCACTCATTCACACCTGAACAACAATGCTCACTCACATTTGAACATCTTCTGGTCGACAGGCCCGGCACCTCCTCTGGGAGAGCGCTCAGAGATGGGACTGACAGCTTGCAGATTACACCAATCAGACTGCTACTATAAAGAGCTTTATTTAAGTCTGAAATGATCAAGGCTAGTAAGAGGAGCCCATACAAAGCTCTGGAAGTAAACTGCACAGAGCTTAAAAGATTAGTCCATCCAGTTTGACTACAATTTTATCCTTTAAAAACGAGAGCTGAGCATATTGTCTTGATCTGTTACGGATATTGCCAGCAGTCTTTGTCCTCACTCACAGGTGCAAAAGAAGAAGCAAACACTCGCTCATACAAACAATAATTTGCTGCGGAGGGGACAGTAATTTTCTGTAATTGAGGGAGGGACAAGCTTAATGCAACACAGACCCTTTGAAATCCCCCTGGTTAAAAAAGAAACCACCAGCCCACTCAGCTACATGATACATTGTTGTGTCTTTTTCTGTGTGCAGTCCATGTCTTTGGAGGAATGGGATTACTGTAAAGCGAATGGAAGTAGCGCAAGAACTCCTTAACAAAACTGGGAGAAAGTTAGCCGACACAAGAGGGCCCATCATGGCTGCTTTGGTACTACTAATGCACATTTTATGAGTAAATATTAAAAGAAAAAAAAACACCCCACCTGCTCTGATAGCCAGAGGCATTTTGCAACCAGGAAAATAAAAGTGGAATGTGGGAAGGCCTGGGGTTTGCGTGCCCTGGGGCAGGAAGGGGTCCGCTGGGCCCATATTTACTCCAAAGCCAGAACCGCTAGGGGGTTCCACTGGCCCTGACAGCGCTGGGGCCGCCAACCTGATCCAAAACCTCACCTCCTACCCTTACCACCCCCCCACCCCCCACCCCCCCCCCGTTACCAACAATCTCCACATCCACCTCAAACTCTCCTTCTTGCAGAAAAACTCAACCTGACTCTTTCACATAAGCCTTTTTTTCCCCACAAGGGGAATGTGCACATGACCTCGCCTTCCTCTCCACTCAACTTAGAATTTATTCACCCCTCAAGAAACAGGCTTGTCAAACTACTATTGTTCATAATATCTCAGTCCCAAGTATTGCAGTCTTTGACAAAAAAAAAAGGAAAGAACTGCTGTCTGTTTGGTGTCCTTTCTTTAGACTTACCTCACTGAACACTTGACTTTATCTGGCCTGCTGTGGAAGTTAGTTTCGCTCTCTTAAACACTGGTTCATGAGATAAGTATGGCTTTGCTGTGACACTGTTTACTTATCAAGTGTGGCCCAATGTGCTGTCCAAACACCAGCTGACTGGCCAGAAAGTTCCAAAAGGATTGCGCAACACGAAGCAAACACATTTCACAAGGAGACAAAATTCTCCACAAAAGTGAAGCAAAAACGTAGTTCGCTACCTTTAATTAAGTTAATTGGATAATGATAGAGTTTTCAGAAAGACTACACACACGTGAATGCTCATACTGCATTCTCAAAGGAAGTGTGAGGGTTTAACATGACTGCGGTCCGAAACAGACCAACTTCTCAACAAATCTCAGAAAGTAAACAGCGTACCATTTCTGACTTTTGCACCCCTCCCCCTTTCCCACTGTCCCTCTCCCTGTGTCATTAAGAGTATCTCTAGGCGGCTCTATAAATATTGTGGCAGGGAGGGTGAAGGCCAGCAGGAGCTGGCTGGTCTTCCATCAGCACTGCTAATGAACAGGCACTCTGGCACCTTTAGCATCATGCTCTGCTGCAGAATGCCTTTGCTTTCAGGTGTTTCTCCTGCTTCACAGAGCAGCACTCGCTGCTTTTCTATCTGAGTGACTGTTCCTCCTTCTTCCTTTCCCTTTACTCAAGACACAAATATAACCTGGGCTTTGGGATGCTTTCATTGACATCCATAATCACTTGGGTGACAAATTGAGTGGGTTAGCCTACATGTTGGAATGCTGGAAGCTTTGCTTCTTACATAATAAATGCAGCTTAACTATACTGTCCTACTGGGAGTGTAATCACAGTTAACTAATTTATTTAAATGGAGTAGGATTACTCATCAATACTCCCCAGTCTTTTTGTGTTTTGATTTTGTGTTTACGCCACAAAGGCTAAAAGATGCACTGTTATTTTAAAAATAAGAGTGGCATGTTGGTATAAAGGCGCTCTATCATATTATCAACATGATGAACAAGTCCTTCTGCTTTCCTCCATTATTTTCTGTCATCCAGGTAACAGGATATCTAGATATACTATGTACCTTTCTCATATTAGTTTGCAGGCTACCACTCATCATCTTCATAATTAATAGTCAAGATTACGGATATCATATAAACATCTGCTTGAACTATTAGCTTAGTCTGGGTATTCACAGTAATTGTGATTTGTGTGCATTCTTATTTTCTGTGTCATTTAGATTAGCATTGTTATTAATAGCAGTCAGTAGAGGCTCCACAGTTTGGTGGAAATAGATGGATGGATTGCCAGGTCAGAGATCAGGTCCTGGACCTTCCCTGGTTGGATTCTCATACACATTGACCTACTTAGAGGCTACATGGAGGTGAACGCATGTCTGCAGGCCTAGGTGCATCTGAGCCCCTTACTCTACAGGCCATGCCAGGGGAAGGGAGGAGAAGAGGTTGGGCAACTCATACCCTCACTCGATGCTTACCTTTTGTGCAGGAAGCGGGGTCTGGGGTGTGGAGGGGAGAGTTAAAAAGGTGAACGGCAGCTGAGCTCTGCTGAGGGAGAAAAGTAAGCTGATTGCAGCGCCCACGTTCTGCTGGAGAGTGCTGTATTTGGCATTGTGCTGGAGGAGAGCTATGCGCTGCCCTTGATGTTGGGTGTCTGGTTTTGTTCTGCAACAGTTCACTATGAATTAGTTAAACGGTAGACTGGATATAAGGAAGCTATGAAACATGCCTCAGAGGGAGAGAATGTGTAAACTCTCAGGCTTCACAAAGACTTACGATATTCTGAAAACACTACACGCTATCACACAATACCACCTACGCATATTCATCAATCAGAAAGCATTACATTGAAGGCATCACACACACACACACACACAACTGGCAATTAATCTTCACAAAAGCATCATACGAAACCAACAAACACTGAGTCTGTTTTGTGTCTTTCACACTTGCACATACACCTTGAAGCAGTTCAGCCTCCATATCCATGAGGCCTACTCCCTCAGCATACCTAAAGCCCGGGTTTTTGATGGTTTCAACTCAAATCTTAACTATGGTTTCAGGTTATGGATTAGTAACGCAATCAACTAGGCTAATTCATCAGCCTCAAGCTATCTATATTAGGTTCAATTAGATTTTAACCTAACTTATTAGTATTGAGAAACATGGTATTTACTATGACATCGTGCATGAAGGAAGGAAAAAAACATTTTCCACACAAGTAATTACATGCACACTCACACAGTGGGGTACTGCCGCTTTGCCATGGTAGCTTAATGAATAAATAAGTAATAAGGGCTTGGTTATTGGAGCTCATTAAAATGGGAGATGCTTCCATGACAATAAGACCTGAGGAGGGTCAGGGTAGGCGGCACAGCTCGAGCCAGAGTGGGTGCCTCTCACCCCCTCCCCCGTCCCTCCATAACCTGACCACATGCCCCAAACACTCACCTCCAAATCAACTCTGCCAGTGACGCGCGCACCCCCCCCCCCCATGCATACATACAAACACACAGACACCTGAAAGCACAGGCTCAAAACGGCACACACACACACACACACACACACACACACACACACACACACACCCCTCTCTCATGGTTAATTACCACTTAGCTCAATCACATGGTGATCCGTCCATAAGAGTCCCCCCTCCCCCCTCCTCCCCGCAACACAAACAGCAGCACACATGCCAATTATTGATGAATCTTTAATATGGCGTTTTACAAAGTCTCCATCTCATTTCCTACCACTGTGCAGGTGATTACTCTTCCAGTAGAAGTAATATTATGCCAGCCTCCCTCTTCGCGGATGAAGCAGTTTATCCAGCTAGCTAAACAATCATATACGCCCAGAAATACTCTTAGATCGAGGAGGTTGCGTTGTCTTTGAGTCCATGACAAATATAAATAAACAACATCTTTAGCATCTAAAATAGTACATGCATAAGAATGAGTAGGAATAATTACCTTAATCTAATTGCAGGGTTTAAATAAAGAGGCCTAAGCCACTTTTGGAGAAGACAGCTAACTTTTTTTGCTCCTCCTGCCTTGCATCTCCAGCTAGCTCTGTATAAAACCCCCGCACAAAAATCCCACGCCGCGATAACATGTCAATAATGAGCTGAGGCCATCTATTGATCAGCTTAATTTTGCATCTATTAGCTAGGGAACGGCTTGCTCCGGGGGCGAGGGAAGCCAGGCGCTAACACGCACCGACAGGCTGGATGGAGATCATTACAACTGATGTTCACACACACGCTGTGATTGACATGGAGATAAGGCAGGGGAGAGCCTGGGCTCGCACGCCTCCCCGCACACTAAGCTAATGATACACCAAACGTGTGCTTGGGGTGTGTACGGCAGTGTGTGTTTGTGTGTGCGGGAGTATGATAGAGAGCATCTATCTAGAAAGAGAGTTGGAGCAGGGAAAAAAAAAAGAGGAGAAGAAAAGCAGGCCACACGCCTTTGCTAATTGGCACAGTCAGACAGGGAAGCTCATAAAAGACGAAAAAGCATTTAGTGGAGCACCTCAGCTTTCTGGATCGCCTTATCAAGTCTGTGTCATTTAAATACCGTTGACAACACCACAGAAAAGCTTGGCTTTGACCTGGAATGCACGGCTTCATCTGATACTTCCTTAATTTAGAGAGTTTGCATACAAAAGTCAGTTGAGGCATTCATTATGAAAATCGTTTGTTTTCCTGTGAACGCCTGATTGCAAGCTTTACGTGCACCATGTCAACACAGCAGCCAAAATCAGCTGAAAAAAGAGAGTAGAGAGTAAGGATGGATCCATACAGAGAGGGCTTGCAGAAAACAATATGGTGTGATGCCCTTTTCCCCCAGCTAACCTATCCACCACCGCTGCAGCAATGGGCCTGGCCTGGCATTGATGCAACCAGCTGCAATATAGGATGCTGCATGTCATCCACACACAGAGTGGAAGAAACGGAGAGAAAGGGAAGGGCCGTGCGCTGGAACGGCACCTTTTAACGCACCATAAAAAAGCATCGGCTGCATCTTTGTGCACACCATCTGTATATCTGAGTTTTTACAGGGAGGAGGTCTTGTTTTATGCCAGGTTCTATGGAGGTGAGGTCAGAGGCACACACAAAAAAAACCTCGGCTACAAACTGTGTGTTTTTGTCATCTGAGGGATGCAACGAAGGGATCGAGGGAGAAGCGGGAGGAGGGAGGGGGGAGGGGGGGGGAGGAGAGAGGAAAAAAAGCCCTCAGCCAAGCCATCAAGTTGAACATTGAACTTCACAGTAGTAGCTGCCTTTCTATGCCTCTCCTTTTGATGTTACCTCCAAAGCAAAGGATCAAAGGCTTGGAGTGTGGCGTGGGGAAGTCCCAAGCTCTTAGCCTGCCAGCCTGTGATATATGCAAAAGTCTACGCCAGAGAGAGAGAGAGAGAGAGAGAGAGAGAGAGAGAGAGAGAGAGAGAGAGAGAGAGAGAGAGAGAGAGAGAGAGAGAGAGAGGAACTGGGAAGCAAAAGAAAGAGAAAGCTTGCATGGAATGTGGCAAAATAATATGTTTTGTGTCTAATGAATGACAAGGGGATGACACAATCAGCCGGTTAGTTACAGAATGACGTAGAGTGAGATGAAGGGCACACACACGAGTTTCGGAGAATAGGCGTTTGATACTGGGAGAGGGCTGGGCATGAAGGCAGGGGATGGGATGGGGCGGAGCAGGAGGTGCTGGCAGTGTTTGTTGCCCTCACCCCCCCCCAAATCGCACCAACCCCCAGCGCCTCTCCGACATCAAGGGGGTGAGAGGCAGTGTCGTCTCAACATAAATATACAGTGTGCCGTTAAAGCGAGGACTACAGTAAACACAGTGCACATGAAATCCTGGTTGTCTCTCCCTCTCTCTCTCTCTCTCTCTCTCTCTCTGGAACACAAACACTCACACACACTCACACTGTGGGCTCAGCTGGGCCCAAAAGGGGAGCAGAGGTGTGCAAAACTTGACAAATCTCTACGAGCCAAACACAATACACACAAACACACACACATGCACACACACTCACACACCCTTTCCCCAAGGC